AGTGGTCGCCCAACTGGGAAGGACCATACAAAATAAACAATGTATTGCCTAATGGAGCATATCACTTGGAAGATTTAGATGGCACCAAGCACGTAAGATTCATTAATGGCAAATATTTGAAAAAATATATTCCTTCTTTATGGGAATGCGAACAGATAAAAACATAACCAAACATTCTGGACGATCAAAAAATAATAAAGACAGAGCGAAATACGTTCAAATAAAGTTCTTTATTACCAAACGTTCATTACAAGAATATAAAAGATACAAGTAATAGGCGTGTTACAAAATACAACTAAAGTAAGATGATCTCCCAGCCGATCACTGAATAAGCTTCACACTGCCTTCCTAAATGCATCGCTGCAATGGTGGGATTGACGAGTGAGAGGGTGTACTGGCCTCACCGCCTTCCTAAATGCATCGCTGCTATAGCGAGCAAATAGGCTGAGAAACACTCTCAACAGGCAAGCTGAGAAGTACTCTCAGCAAGCAAAATGGCCCATGAGCAGCCCAAAAATTGCCTTCCATCATCGACCCCTTGTGAAGAACAAAGGGACGACGGGAAGAATTTTGCAGGAAAGAACTTAGCTGCTGGCCAGAAAATATTTCCTATACCTCCCATACCAAAGGTGACATCAAAGTAAGTATAAGGCGGACGGACTAAACAGTCTCAAAGTAAGTATAAGGCGGACGGACTAAACAGTCCATTTTTGGATCAGATTGATCGTCAGAATGCCAAGAAATGGCAGCAAATTGGTTTCGAATAAGAAAATGAGGAGATGAAGATAGAGGATGAAAAATACGAAACATTTATAGGGGGTGAAGATGAAGAGACAGAATATGAACAGCCACATTTCTGTCTAATAGACGGAATTAAATGGCCCTAAGTCTTGGGAACAGTAGTGGGAATCTCAAAAGGGAATGGACAAAATTCTTGGTGCAAAGAATAGACGGAATTAAATGGCCCTAAGTTTTGAGAACAGTAGTGGGAATCTCAAAAGGGAGTAGACAAAATTCTTAGTGCAAAGCAGTTAAATGCTCAAAGAATTGATGATTAGAAAATAAACATCAAATAAATGCACAAGAAATTAATGTTCATTAATAAGGAACAAAATTACAAAAAAGAAAAGACATCATGTGTCTTAATTACATTCTACCCCATAAGGAACGAATTCGTTCCCTAAGTTTTTCCCAATCCTCGTCCTGTCGGGAGGTAGTGATGTTCAATTCAGCCGCAACGTCATCATCATCAACCTCCAGCTTCTTGTACTGTTCGACCAAGGATTTAGTTCGCTCAATTCCCTGAGAGGCGTTGCGCTTTTTAGCGGCCATCCTCGCCCTGCAATCGTCCATTTTGGCTTGAAGCTCCCTCATCTGAGCAGCCAAATTAACCATCAAGGAGTCTTCAATCATGACTTCGGAAGAGAT